GAGCTGTCTCCCACATTTGTAATGCTCCCCTTACTGCCACTTCCTGTCTTCCTTAAGGAGCTTTTAAGACTCAGCTCAAATTCTACCTTCTTCAGGAGGCCACGTCTGGTGCTAGTGCCTTAACCCTGAAATTTCTTGTAACTGTTTGCTTCTTGTCTCCCTCAGTAGAATGTGATTTTCTTGAGAGTAGGGGGCCATGTTTTTGCCTTTCTTTATATTCTCAGCACTTAGAATACTGACTGGCTCACAGTAAGTTAATGCTGTCTGATTGGGGGAGTGCACCTTGAAGTGGGCAGCAACTTTAATATATCAGCTGTTTAAGGTGAGGTTCCTCTTTATTTATGGGGATATTCCCCTTTCAAACAGGATGTGACTACTGTGGTACCCTGCTGGAATTCCAATAGGGACAATGGTCTTTGATAGGCTATGTAAGAGATTTCTGTTACCTGAGAGCAATCTTGGGCTGGCAAGAGGCAGGGCTAATAGAAGTATATCTAAAGCGCTTAATGAGAATTTAAAGGACAATATAGTAGGACATTCAGTAGTTTTGGATATAGTGGCCTTAACTGATATGACTCTATAGCAGAACAAGTGCCTAGAAGACAAAAGCAAGGGGCATACTTAGGACAAACAAGACTAAAGAGACATCCCTGGAGTGGCGGATATCTCTGAGCCTATGTAGCTCAAGGTTAGCCAGAGACTGCTTGCCTAAATGGAGACAGTACCTAGTTCACCATAGGTTGTGCTTCTGTTGTGGCATTCTTGATAAGCCTAATGATGTCATTGGGCCTGGGATTAGGAATATAGGAGGAATCATTAGGACACGGACACAAAAGGCCTGAATCTGGGCATAGACTAGCTGGATAGAAGCTTTTTGGGGATCCCATGAGATGCTTTCTATGCTGGGATTCTGGTCACATGCTTGTATATAGTAGCAGAGGCCCATCAGTGCAAGGAAAAGAAGTCCAAGGGTATGGCAAAGGCATCTCCTCTGGTCATGCTTGATTGAAAATTTGTCTGCTTAAATCCTGAGTAATTCTAAAACCTTGGTGAGTTACTGGACCTATAGCTCAGCGTTGATGCAAGGGTATGCCACTCTAGAAGAAGACTATCTTGGAATGAGTTATCACTACCAAAGGGAGACTGATGACAAGAGGTTTAGTGGCAAATGGGGATGGATAAGAATAGGCTAGATAGCTTTGGGGACAGTCAGCATGGCCATAGAGTAGTTTTCAGGCTGCAATGGTTCAGGTAATACAACCCCTCCCTTTTCTGGAGACCAGGTCAATGTACCTAAGTTGAACGTGGCTTACAAGGGCGAGCCTTCAACGCTTCCCAATCTTGATTGGTTGGACAAGAGATATTTTATTAAATGCCAACTGCGTACCATGCGCTATGCTGGAAATACATAGACAAAAATGGAATAGTTTGCTCTCAAGGGGACTTATATGCTATCAGGGGAGAGAAAACTTATAGACAGAAAAATACAAATAAACAGGAGGTAGTTTGTGGAAGGACAGCATTAGTAGCTAGGGAGAGGATTAGAAATGGCTTCATGTAGTTGGTAATTGAGCTGAGTCTTAAAGGAAGTACAGGATTCTATGAGGCAGAGGGTAGGAAAGCATCTAAGCTAAGACGATTATAGCTAGAGCCTTGAGTCAAAACAGTCTGGAAAGAGGGTCCACCTAATATCCTATTTGCTGCAAGTAAGGCATTCTAGGTGGCCTTGATTTATATAGATAAGGAGAAATTCTTAGTAGACAACATTCAGGCCTTAGGTCTAGGTTCGGATGCCTCAGACAGAAAATGAAAAATAATCGGAATAGCTATCAACAGAAACTAGCCCTTTAATATAAGAGTAAGGAAGAAAAAAAAAGATCTGTGAGTGCAAAGTGTTGGACACAGAGCATTAAGATGCGCTTTTGGTACATGTCTTTAGTTGAGCTGAATAGCAGCACCGGGGAAGGTGGCCAGAAGCCAATAGTCAATTATAAATACATTGACAATGCACACCACATATTCTTACAGCTATGAACCAATTCCCCCAGCTACAGGGGGAAATCACAGAATCACAAAGTTGGAAGGTTCTTAAAGAGAGCGTTTAGTTCCTTACCTGAAAAAGAATTCTACATCTTCTGTGCCTGTGCCGTACCTCTATGACATGCTTATTTTTTTTTGTTGTTATTGTTCTCACTTCATCCTCTAGTTGCTTTCTCGGCCCTCACCCTGGCTCTGGCCTCTTTCCTTCCTTCAAGATCCTAGGGGTAACCAGTTGAACTTTTACACTGTTATCTACCCTTAAATCTACTCCTTTGTCCTATCATGCTCATTTCCAAATCCTATCCCTGGATTACTCTGCCTTCTCCCCTACATGCATCCTACTGAAAGCAAATGGAGGAAGTCACAAACTGTGCTGAGTTCACTAGAGTTTTCCCATAGTTCACTAGAGTTGTTACCCATTCTTATCTGGGCCGTCACAGCTATACACCAGTCCTTTGCTAATCCCTGATTGATTCTATTCTGTTCCTTTCTGCATCTACTCCAAATCTTCTCTTTTTTCCTGAAGCCATCTAAATCATTCCCTCTGCCTAAGCCAAGGGCTTTGCCAAATATTTAACTGAGAAAATTGGAGCCTTCCATTGTGAGTTCCCTCATCTCTCCAACTCTACATTCCAAAGTACCTCAGCATCTCCCTCTCTCTTTTGTTGTGGTCTCTGAGGAAGTTGTCTGTTCACCAACCACTCCTTGTGCCCTTATTCCCTCCTGCTTTTTCTGGGAACATTTCTTCTCTCAAAATTTTCAGCCTCTCCTTATTCACAGGCATCTTACCTTGCCTGATGCCTAAAAACATCTCCAGATCTTCATCCTTGAACAACAACAACAATTGTCATTTAATTGTACCATCCTAACAAACTATATTTCTTTTCCCCTTCACAGCCACACTTCTAGCCAAAGCTGCCTATCAGTGTCACTTTCCATTTATTTATAAACCCCTTACAATATGGCTTCTGTCTTGCCCTCTCCAATGTTAGCTATGTTCTATTAATTGCCAAATCTGATGCCTTTGTCTCTGTCCTCATCCTGCTTGACCTCTCTGTACCATCCAGTACTACTGAACAAACTCTCCTCCTTAGGTTTTCTTCAAATTGCTTTTTTCTTTCTCTTCCTACCCGATTGATCTATTGTGTTGGATCCTTCTCCTTCAGCATAAGGCTCTATATTTGGGAATACCTGAAGGTTCTGTCCTGGGTCCCCTTCTTTCTTTACTCAAACATACAACCTTGTAGTAATTCTTGACTCCTCACTTTTCCTTACCACATCAGTTCCTAAGTCTTATTGATTCAACCTCTATATCATCCCTTGTATCTGTCCCCATTTCTTCACTTACACAGGTACCATCTTAGTTCAAGTCTTTATCATCTTCCATCTGGACTATTACAATAGCCTCTTAATTGGTCGCCCTGTCTCAGATATCTTCCTTCTATCCATGTTCCACACAGTTGCCAAAGTGGCATTCTTAGAGGAAAAGTCTGAGCATGTCACTCCTCTCTTCAAAAGTTTCAGTGGCTCCCTATTACCTAAGATCAAATACAAATTCTTCTGTCCAGGATATAAAACCCTTCACAACCTGGCACTTTCCTACCTTTCCACTTTCTTACACTTTACAGCACAGAGAGAGTGGCCTCTTGATGTTCCTTAAGCAAGACACGCCATCTCCTGAATCTGGGCCTACTCTCTCACCTGCTCCTCAATGTGACCACAGTCATAGAACAGACATGGCCAACTTGTACTAAAGTAAACAGTATTTCTATCACCCAAAGATAATATAGAGAGATAGAAGATGTTGATTTTGCTGTCTTAATTTTTTTTTAGTCTGTGGGGTTGTAGGCTTGGGCTTATTTTCATGGCTGGTTCAAAATTTGCTGGCTAGTTGGAACTAAGCTTACTAAAGGATAGCTAAACCTACATGCCAGGATGTAGCTACTGGCAATCTAAGCATGAGAACTGGCTTCCAGGAGTGAGATTTTGTCATGTCCAGAGAATTAAGCAAACAAATACATATAGCTAGTTATATGTATATAATTTAATACAGAAAAATGCATGTTAAGAAATTAGTCAATATACATATAAGAAAAAACCTAAAATATTTATAAGCAGTTTTATTTTGCAATCATTTTGTTTTTATGACTCTTAAGATGTAACTTGATCATTTAAGAAAATGAATAAACATCTGTTCTCTTGTCAACAAGTGAATAAGCATCTACTGTACAAACCTACTTGTGCTTAATAATGAAAAAAAAACCAGTTAACTTCTTTACACTGTAAACTATTTCATAAAATCAAATAAACCTAACACTTACCTACTTCACATATGCCCACAATTTTTCATTTTCCTTATGTCAAGTTAAAGCGCATGGTGCCCAGATAAAAAGCATACAAAAAAAAAATCTAGTATGCTTACACTAGCTACAGTAAATAAACTACAATGCAAAAAAAAAAAATCCAACAGGATTCATTTTAAATGGGTGAGGAATAAAAAGAACTGTATAATGTTAGAATACTTTGAAAAGGAAAGTCTGTTTCTTGATTAAACCTATATCATCTTTTCTGCCCACTTACAGTGCCTTAAATTTATCAGTGAAGTTTATCTTCTGTTAACATTAATTTATCCAGATATTAAGGTGCAAAGCTGGCACAAACTGAACACAAAAAATGAAGCTCATTTAAATGGAGTCCTTTATGGACAATCAGTGACTCTTAACACGCAGAAGTCTTTCTTTCTTCTAAAACAAATGTAATGGGCCAAAATATTTGAGGAAAAACGCACAAAGGTACAGCTCTTGGAGGATGAAGTCAACATTTACCAGAAAGGGTGTTTTTTTTTGTTTTGTTTTGACATCAACATTTATATAATACAGTCCATAACATGAATCTGCAATGTATCTATGTCTGGCAGAATTTCTCCACACTTGGGACATGAATGGATTGGAATACTCCTTTGCTGTTGTTGCTGCCGCCAGCTTCTGTCATCAGCTCCTGGGAACAAAGCATAAAAAACTCATCCATCCTATGAGTCATTTGTTGTAAGTAGAGGTTTTTGTTTTTTTTTTAACATACTCATTTTGATAAGCTTAAGTTTAGAATTAAGTAGTCACCAGCATATGTAACTAAACTTCTACTAATAACAATTTTTAGTGGGTTTGACAATAATGTGGTTTTAAAAAAGGTTTTTACCAGTTCGTTGATTTATAGCTGCAGTTATTACAACAGACACACAAATTAAAGGAAAAATCATAAACTCTAAAAGTTGATGGGGACACTAGAGACCATGTAGCCCAGCCTCCAATCTAGTACATGAAGTATCTCCCATAACCTTCGTAAGAGCCACCTAGCCTCTACTCAAACACTTCTGGTGACAAGGAACTCACTATTTTACAAAGCAGCATAATATTCTGCTTCTCTATTTCTATTGGAACTTGAGTTCTGGCTAGAAAATGGATATAACTTAAACGTGTAATGATTAGAAGATTGCTAAGTAAATTATGACATTACAGTGGAAAAATATGGCACTCTAAAAGAAATGAATACCAGGAAATGTAGAAAGCCATGAATGATGCAAAGTGAGATCAGTAGTATTGGAACAGCATACAAACTGACTACATTGATGTGGACATTTTATATTTTACATGTGTCAGAGGGCTGGCTTTAGTGATAGGGAGGCTTGGGTTCACATGCTGAGCACATGTTAGCTGTGAGGCCATGAGCAAGTTCATTTAATCTCTCAGTTTCCCAGGCACACCCCACTACTATCAGATAAAGACCTCTTTCTCTGGGGAAGGAGTTTCCACACTTGAAAAACCCACACATCTGAAGTGCCAGACTTTACCATTCCTTCCTGCTCCCACACCCACAAAAGGAAGCACAGTCAAAAGGAATATCACTTTGGATGGACTTGGAAGGGGACACACAGCAACTGCATCCTTTGTCATTTTCATAGACCTTTAGAGTTACAAGGGACCACAGAGATCATTTAATCCAACTTGTACTTGAACAAGAATTCTTTCAACTACATGTTTGACTCTTTTGTTAAAATTATTATTAGATAACATAATGGTTTTATTTCTTGTTTTATATATTTATCTTTGTGTTATTAATCTTATAATGTTTTAAAAAAGGGCTAATAACTTTAGACAATCACAGGTGTGCATACATGAACTCACATACACGAACTCACACACACCCATTCCCTTACCACCTTCTATGAATATACGTCAGACTGTATTTTTGTGATTAATTTTCCCCTTTAAAGCTGCCTTTGAAATTAATTTTAATCTTATTTTATGTAAGTAAAAACACTTGGTGGAGGCAATAGGGTATGAAGCATACTAGTAGGATTTGTCCTAGATCTGCCCCAAGAAGTTTCTGTATTCTAATAGGAGGTATTCATTAAATCTTTGCTGAATGAAAATTTGTCAACAAAATAAGAGGCACTATTTATTCTTTTTTGGCATAGTGCTTGAAATGTTTGAGTTATTAAGTGATGACTTGAAACTGATCCAGCATTGCCCAAAAAAAAAAGTTTAAAAGCTGATATGCAATTTAAAAATGGGATTTCTGGATTCTTAACAATCATCATTAAAATTGCCTTTCAGCTATCATTTGGTTATCTTCTGGATTTCATTTCTCTTCTACTTATCTCAGTAAAATGCATGTTCTATAAGAGCAAGGGAGACTTGTCTTTGTACTTCCCCAAGGCATTACACATGATAGACTTTCAGCAAATGTTTAACAGAATCTACAAAACAGGGATGATACCTTTCTCTCCCCTAAATCTAACCCCAGACTCAGAAACTTAATGATTTCTGGAGTTGATACTTCGAATTATCTGTAATTTAATTAATTGGGGTATTCCTTCTACTGACTGAGACTGCAACCCCTCTGTGCATTAGGGGATCATCTTCATGAGTTGCTATGATTTAAAAGATAAAAATGAAAACACTGTTCATTATCTGGTAGACAACCTTCTAGTGATGATTCTCTCTGAGATGCCTTTGAATTCATTTTGACTTCATTTTACCAAATTTTAAATATTGAAGGTGGGACAGAATAAGAGATGTGGTTTATCTTAGCTGGGTTAACAAATACAATTCCTAGACAAGACCATACTCTAATTTGAAAGCACCTGCCAGGACCTGCTGACATTCTTTAAGAAGCCTACACCACTTCCCGTGCCCAGCAGTAGGACTTAAGTGAGGTTTGCTTATTTTTAGAATTAGCTAAAAAAAAAAGTTAAAAAAAACCCCCAAAACACCAAATTCTCAAGCCTATGATAGTAACTCATATTTTCAAAAACATATAAGGAAGCATTCTGAAAGTTTCCAGGAGTATAAAAATTTGATTAGATAAGGTTTTGTCTTTCTAAGGCTCCAGAGGCTATTATGCTGTGTGTTACGTAAGCAAAGTAATGGGCTTAATAATTTACCTCTCTGAACAAGGTAGGGTTGCTGGTCTTGTTCATTTGTTGATCTGGCCCCATGACGGCTTTGCAGTTCCATCAAAGACTGTCTGCTAAGAATAAAGATTAGCACACACTAATTTTCTATCATTTTGAACGATGAAAGTAATATAAATTTTAATGTTATCAAATGAGATAACATTAAAGCACTATGTGAATGCTAGCCACTCTACTGGCTGTGTGAGCCTTACCAAGTCTCTCTAAAGTGCTCCAAGCAATTTTCTGAGACTGTAAGTAACAGACAAGCTGCCAGTCTACATCATTAGAAGTAGTTGTCAAATGGGCATTCTCTACACTGATGAAATCACACCTGTGTTTTGTCCATCCCACCCTCAAGATCCCTTCTCACCTCCAAAATGAAGCCAAAGGCAGAGAAAAAAAAATTATATACTTATAGAAGTATTAAATAACATTACTTAAACATGACATTGCCTCAATAAATTAACTTGAAGTATAAAATCAGACATTTGGTAATGAGTTTTCTTTCATAACTAAATAGTTGAAGTGTTTTTTTAATTCATATACAGAATTAAAATTTTTATTTAACATCTCTATTTTAATTTTGTGCAAGTTTTAATCCATTTACATTACAAAATATGACCCCCAAATCCACAATGATGTGTTTTATATCTCTGAAAGAAGGCACCACAGAGAGGCAAAATTTCTCAATGAGTAAATTATATATCCACATAATAAAAGCATCACCAAGGGAGCTGCGTTTCTAAAAGCCTGAGTGGTAGGAATGGCCAACAGTGCATGGAATCCAGCAGCTGGTTCAAAAGAGATTGGAGTCTTATCAAAATAATTTCTCTACTGTAGCCCCTCTAATACTTCTTTTAGCACACTAAGTCTCAACATCCCAGTACTAATCAAACCTGTTTGCACTGGGCTGGTAAGAGAAGCGCCAGTGAAATGGGCATAATTCAGCTATTGTAAATTAGCATTTGGCCAGGAGAATAAACAGCAGATTATAAGTAGTGAGTATGCCATAGTACAGTAGAAGAAGTACTGAGTTTATATCTAGAGAAACTGGACTGAAACTGTTTTGCCACATAATTCTTAGAATTTTCTCCCTCCTCACCTGTAATTCTTGGAATCCCAAGGCTCAGCTCAAGTGCTGTTTCAGAAAGGACTTTGCTAATTCCCTCAGGTGTTATTGTTCCCATATATCTCCCCCAAATTACCTTGTATCTATTTTCTGTTTGCTTATCTGTGTACATGCTGCTTCTCCCCAGTATAATGAAAGCTTTCCTTAACAGCTGTAGGTATTGGGGATGGCCCCAAAACAACCAAAACCCCAGGCACAAGACATAGCATAATCTTCTTTGCATTTAATGGAATCATTTCAAATTTCACAGATACAATGAGATGATCTGAAATGTAGGGGTCAGCAGTTGAAAGCTACTATATTAACATATAAGGTAAACGAGTCATATATCCATTCATCTAATTCAGTTTCTGTTCTTTTTTAAAAATAAAGAGAGCCAGGAGTTGTGTAATACACTTGCAATCCCTGCTGGTGGGGAGGCTGGAGCTTCTGGAGCCCAGGAGTTCTGAGCTACACTGGGTTAAACTGGCTGGGTGCCTGCACTAAGTTCACCATTGACTTGGGGAACTCTGGGAACAGGGGGTCAGTGCAGTGTTGATGGTGGAGCAAACTTGCTCCACAGAACAAAGCAGGTCAAAGTTCCAGTGCCAATCAGAGTGGCACCAAACGTGGGAGAAGTTCAAGCACTGTCAGCGTTGGAGAGGTAGAGAAAGACCCAATCTTTAAAAACAACAAAACCAGAAAAAAGGGGAACTACAGTGAAACCAAATAAACCAGTGCCATAGCCCAAAAGTGAAATAACTGATGTCTCCCATTTACCTAGGACTTCCATGTTCATAAAGCACCTTCTTCACAATAACCCTGTGAGGTGAGTAGTAAAAGTATTTGTTATTGTTGTTCAGTAATTTTTCAGTCTTGTCCAACTCTTTTGAGACCCCATTTGGGGTTTTCTTGGCAAAGATACTGGAGTGGTTTGCCATTTCCTTCTCCAACTCATTTTATAGATTAAGAAACTGAGGCAAACAGGGTTAAATTACTTGCCCAGGGTCACACAGTTAGTAAGTGTCTGAGGCCACATTTGAACTCAGGAAGAAGAATCTTTCTGACTCCAGGCCTGGCACTCTATCCACTGCACCACCTGTAAAGTAGTATCAGCCCCATGTTACAGAAACTGAGGCTAGGAAGGTTAAAGGGCTTATCCATCATCACAAAGTAAGTGCTTGAGGAAGGAATCAAACCCAGGCCTAGGCACTCCAAGTCTAGACTAATACGATTATGCTATTCTGTCTCTCCAGAACTTGAACACACAAACAAAAAAACCACCCTTGGACTTTTTAAAATTTATAAGCAGTTTCTTCTTATAGGGGAACAAAGATGGTTCTGCTGAATACAGAATCAAGCTCCAAGTCTGTATTGCCATCTATTTCAAGTCTGCCTTTCACTTTATCTTACCTGCTCCCATCTTCAAAAACATTGTTTTCTTTCAACAAAAATGCCAGCTGCAATGCCAGCTGTTCCTTTTCTTCATGAATCTTCTCTCTTGCTGCTCTCTCAGCATGGAAGTCAGAACAATAAACCTCCATCTGGTTACAAAGAAAAAAAAATTTGAATTCAACCCACTATGCCTTTCTGTGCACTGCAAACACTAACATATAGCTCTTGCTGCCATCTGCAGGATAACTGAGAAAGATCAGTATAATAACCACTGCCCATTATGAGCTCTTTTCAGCTATATTAGCACAAAGCACTGGGATAAAAGTATCAATTATTAATTTCACTACTGAACTGAAATGCTTTAACTCTTCTACCCCTGCTATCATCCTCTTTCTACCAATACAACTCACAATCCCTTCTGTGGCCAAAGTTCACCAATAACCCCCAGTGACCTTCTGATACTAAACCTTTATTAACTTAGCAAGTTAGTTTTTCTGAAAACAAATATATAGAATGATGGCTAATGAATGTATGGAAGGGGTAGAGAAGTGTGCATTGTGTCACTATCACACAGCTGTCAAGAGTGGCTACCCTAGTCCCTCTCTAGAAATGGATTTTGTGCTATCCACATCCAAAGAAAGAACTATGGAGTTTGAATGAAGATCGAAACATACTATTTGCTATTTTTTTTCTTCTGTTGAGTTTCTTTTCCTCTTTATGGTGGTTCCTCCTATTGGTTCTAATTCTTACTTACAACATCACTAATGTAAAAATATGTTTAATAGGAATGTATATGTAGAGCCTATATCAGATTGTGCGCCATCTTGGGGAGGGTGGTGGGGAGGAAGGGGAAGAAAAATTTTAAACTCAAAAGCATATGGAAGTGATTGTTGATGAATCAAAATAAATTAATTTAAAAAAAAAAAGAAATGGATTTGGGGCCCTCTTTGCCACCAAACCTAATTACTTTGTTCTGTGACACTGAACTTCTAGAAAACAACACAGAAGAAAATGGCACACTGGAAAGGGTCACTGATTCTAGAGTCAGAGGAAATTCAAATTCTACCTCTGATGAATACTACACCAAGGTGACCTTGGGCAGTCCACTTAGCTTTCCCTTTACAATGCCAAGCAAACAAGGATTTCTCCCCCTCCTTTTCCATAGGCTAAGCCAATTAAAAATTGTTTAGAAATATATGTTATATAATTTTTATTAAAAAAAAAAAGAACAACCCAGTGAACTGGGTGTGCCACTAAAAAAAAGAAACAACCTAGAAAATCAACAAATTAAGAAAAAAACATAACTACCAAAATAGAAATTCTGAAAACCAAAGAAGAGATGAACAAAACTGGAAGTTAAAAAAAGATGCAATGACAATTTAAAACTAGAAGCTGTTTAAGATAAAACAATTTTAAAAACTATTAGGGGGCGTAGTGGATAGAGCAGCAGCCCTGAATCAGGAAGACTTGAGTTCAAATTTGGCTTCAGACACATGATGCTCATTAGCTGTGTGCCCCTGGGTAAGTTACTTAACCCCGACTGCCTCACAAAAACAAAAAAACAAAGAACAAAACAAAAAAAAACCAAACTATTATCTGGTCTGATTTTTTTAAAAGAAGGAAAATCAAATCACCAGCATCAAATATTTAAAAAATTATTCACAACAAATGAAAAATAAAGGAAATTATTAGAAACAATATTGTCAGATCTAGGCCAAGATGGTGGAGTACAAACAGCAACCCAGCTGAACTCACCCAATGTTTCCCTCCAAAACCACTTTAAAACAATACCCTAAATCAAGTTTTGGGGCAGCAGAGCCAACAAAAGGTTGGAGTGAGATGTTTTTCTATTCTAAGACAACTCAGGAGTTTGACAGGAGAAGTCTGTGACACCAGGGTAGAGGCCTGTCAAGTGCATGTACACTGTAGCAGCACTAGTGGAAGGCCTTAGAGGCAGTGGCAGCAGCAGCAGCTTCAGGAGGTCTCAGCCCACAGATGGTAAGGGGGTTGGAAAACTGGTGAGAAAGCGATTACAGGCAACCTTTTGCAAGCATTGGGTACAGCTGGTACTGACTGGCAACTTTATTGCCCATAAGCAGTTCTGGGTCACAGTTCCAAGGTAGAGAGAAGCACTCGTGGTCAATCAAGGCAGCAGAGGCCTGGTCTCAGTTTAAAGGCAGAGAAGAGACTAGCACTTGTAACTGTGGGAGGCTTGATGACTTGGTTACAGTTCTAGGGCCAAGAGTCATGTATGAGTCAAGACTCATACTTGTGGATACCCTTTCCTGGATAAAGACTAGAACAGAGACTGGGAGAGCAGTGACCACACCTCTACCTAGAACACAACACTTTGGAAGTACTGAAAATTTTCAAACTCCCAGAACTGGCTCTGAAAATAGCAGCAGAAAAAGCCTGAAGCTTGGGACAAGGCCTCCCTACCCTTGGGTAAGCAGAGCCCAACCTTAACATAAAGTTCAAAGTCAAGAAATAGGCTGGAAAAATGAGCAAACAGCAAAAAATAAATATAAATAAATAAATAGAAGGACTTGACCATAAAAAGCTAAGAAGGTGGCAGAGAAGACCAAGACACAAACTCAGAAGAAGATAATAATGTGAGAAGAGCTACAAGCAAAGCCTCAAAGAAAAATGCTAATTGGACCCAAACCCAACAAGAATTCCTGGAAGAGTCAGAGACAGCAATAAGAGTAGTAGAGAAAAAATTGAGGAAAGAAATGAGAGTGATGGAAGAAAATTATGAAGAGAATTAATGTCTTAGTAAAAGAGACACAAAAAAATACTGAAGAAAATAACACCTTGAAAAACAAAATTGGCCTAATGGTAAAAGAGGCACAAAAATTGACTAGAATAAAGAACTCCTTTTCTAAAAAGCAGAATTGGCCAAATAGAATTGTTGTTTCCCAGTCATGTCTGACTCTTTGTGACCCCATTTGGGATTTTCTTGGCCAAGATACTACAGTGGTTGCCATTTCCTTCTCTAGCTCATTTTACAGATGAGAAGACTAAGGCAAATAGAATAAGGTAACTTGCCTAGGGTCTTGTAGCTAGCATCTGAGGCTAAATTTGAATTCATATCTTCCTGGCCACTGTGCCACTTACCTGCCCCATGGCCAAATACAAGAAAGAGGTACAAAAGCTCATTGAAGAAAATAATTCCTTAAAAATTATAATTGGGCAAGTCAAAGCAAATGACTTCATGAAACATCAAGAAGCAATAAAACAAAGTCAAAAAATGAAAAAATGTGAACTATCTCATTGGAAAAACAACTGGCCTGGAAAAAAGATCAAGGAGAGATCATTTAAGAATTATTGGACTACCTGAAAGCCATGGTCAAAAAAAGAGCCTAGATATCATATTTCAAGAGATCATCAAGGAAAACTGCCCTGATATCTTAGGTTCTCAGGGCAAACTAGAAATGGAAAGACTCCACCAATCATTCCTTGAAAGAGATCCCAAAATGAAAATTCCAGGACTATTATAGCCAAGTTCCAGAGTTCTGGAACTCAAGGTCAAGGAAAAAATATTGCAAGCAGCCAAAAAAAAGAAGCAATTCAAATATCATGGAGCCACAGTTAAGATCACACAAGATTTAGCAGCTTCGACATTAAAGGAGCAGAGGGCTTGGAATATGATATTCGAGAAGCCAAAGGAGCAAGGATTACAACCAAGAATAACCTACTCAGCAAAACTGAGTATAAACTTTCAGGGGGAAAAATGGATAGTTAATGAAACAAATGACTTTCAGACATTCCTGGTGAAAAGACCAGACCTGAATAGAAAATCTGACATGCAAACACAAGACTCAAAAGAAGCATAAAAAGGTAACATCAAGGAGAAATCATAAGAGACAATATGTTTAAACTGTTTACATTTCTATATGAGAAGATGACACTTGATGATGACTCCTAAGAACTTTATCACAACATTTTATTATGTTACAAATCAATTTTAATAATAAATAGTATAAGAAATAATAAATATTCTGAGTTTATTATTATATTTTTATTAGGGATTTACATAGAGGGCATGAGTGTGACTTGATTATGTTGGGATAATTCCCCCCCCCAAAAAAATGAGAAAGAGTGAGAATGGGAGAAGGGAAGGTAAAATGGGGAGATTTTTCTTACATAAAAAGGGCATGCAAGAAAGAGCTTTTACATGGAAGAGGACATGGGTGTGGGGTGGGCAATACTTGAATCCTCCTCTCACTGGAATTGGTTCAAAAAGGGAAAATATATATACATATATATATATATATATATATATATATATATATATGTATATGTATAACACACATACATATACACACTCAGTTGGGTACAGAATTCTATGTGACTCAGCAGGGAAGTAGGAGGAGAAGAAGATAAGATATATGGGGAGGGTGATAAAAGGAAGGGTGGATTAAGGGAAGCAGT